TTCCCCCCCCCCCCCCCCCATGTAAGTCACATGGACTCAAACAGTTGATTTGATGTGGTGGTTAAAAATAAGGATAGATTGAAGGGAATTATACTGTTGATGGAGGGTAGTGTGAAATGTGGTAACTTCTAAATACTATTTTGCTACTTTGGGAAATACAGCTTTTGTTGTAATATCGCTGATGCTGTTGTTTTTCTGTTTTTAAACTTTTGCACCTGGTTAGCTCCAGTGGCCTAATGTTAGCATACAACAATGAAAATATGTATTTCTCGTGGAAATGTGTGCTTTTCTAAAAGAAAGTATAACTTTGGAGGTATGTAGAGAGGAATTCTCCTCTGAACTGAACTTGCATCTTGGGCTATCTTTGTAGGATTTTATGCTAACTAGCGCTTAGACTCTGCATATCTCCTTATCATACCTAAGAAAAGTAAATGTATGTTATTTTTTGGGGGGGTGGGAAAGCCCAGACATTTTAAGTGTGTGGCATAGGTTTGATTTCCTAGGCTTTGACGACTTCGGACTTTCACTTCTTGTTTTGCAGCTACCCCATCTCGACTGCTTTATGTCTACTCACTTAAATAGACCCGCTTACAAATTTTCTGCACTTTTTTTTACTGCTTTCTCTTTGCATCATTTGGGTCTGTTTTTTTTAAATTTTATGCTGTACAGTGAAAAACTAAAGCATATGCCAAAACTCAGTTGCAGTCTGTCCCATCTAGTTGTTGATTTAAAAAAAAATACCACAAGCAGCATGCCTTTTCATATGATGGAATCTGTTTTACTTCTGCCTAATTTTGTTTTACCTGTATTTTTTGCCTTTGGTTCTTAGTTACATTTTTTCAATGCAGACCATTCCTGGGCATGTGAAGTTAAATCCTTAACCCAGTCCCTGTAGCCAGTACGTGGTCTTCAGAGGCTTAACTCTGCGTCATGCCAAGGGGAGAGGGCTCCCGACTGACAGAGTGTTTAAGACCCAGTGGGCAGTGTGTTACAGGACTGACCTGACTTGAGACAGTGTGAACAACGAAAGGCATAGTGCTTTGCCTTTCTGAGGAAAGTGCTGGTGGCACAAGAGTGACTGCTACCCAGGCTCTGCCTTCCTGTTGTTGGTACTGAGGCGTTAGTTTGTGCGTGCAAAACTCGGCCTAAGTTGAAGAAGTTGAGATGCGTTGGCTACCAGTTAGTTTTCAATAATTCAGTACTTCCTTAAAACTAATCAAGCATATAGCCTCTTCTTGAAGGTCATTTCTCAAGAACAGACATGAGTGCTGGTGTGTGTTAAGCTCTTGACATAATTCATGCAAATACCTTTTTAAAATAAAAATTTGAGAAGCACGCCTAAACCCTTCCCCTTTCTATAACATTACTTTTTCTTTGCTAACTGAAACATGGGGTGAATGTTGAGAAGCAACCCAAAAGCAAGCAGACGAGAGAAATCCGTTGTTAACACTTTAATTTGAGTGGTCATTTCTTTGTAAAGTAAAGGTACATATTGAGTTGTTTTCTTCGTTACTTGTTTTCACTAGATAGTAAATATAATTTCAAAGGCTAGGTGTTTGTGGTTGTTTTCCGTAGCTATCTAATTTCACTCTGTAAATATTACTTTGGTGTTTCTGCATGCCTCTCCTGGTTTTCAAATGCATATGTGTACAAAGGGTAGCTTCTGTAGCTGTGTTGGTACTTCTGTAGGAATGGACCTATCTGTGATCGCATTGCTTCTGTAAACGTGCAACTGTCTGAAGCCGTCAAATCCTTGGAGTCAACTTTTTTGGTTACGTTTTGGTTTTTGACAAAAATCCACAGGGCAGAACTTGTGCTGACATGAAGATGTCACTTTCTGTGCATGGTTTTGCAAATCACAGGTTGGAGGGAACGCAGCATGGTTAAGGCCAACAGCGGCATCATTGATTTCTCTTCTGTCTTTAGGTCCTTTCTCACAACTTGTGCACAGTCTTAAATGTTCCCCATGACCCGGTGGCCTTGGAAGAACACTTTAGAGATGATGATGAAGGACCGGTTTCCAATCAGGGTTACATGCCTTATCTAAACAAATTCATCTTGGAAAGGGTAAGTTCTGAATTCTTGTGCTCTGTTTTTTCCCTTTATTAGGTTTTGTATTAGAGTGTCTTTACAGTAGACTTCTGCTTGCAGGAAGCATGCTGGTGTGAAGACACTCTGGTTGTGAGTGTGCCTGCGTGGGGTTGTGATGGGGCGGGTACTCTGGAGAGCCTATGCCTTAAAATGGAAGGGTGCACTGTTCTCTACTTCTTTTTTCTCTCCTTGGTTTCTATTTCTTCTTACATCTGGTCATTGTCTAAGCTGTGTTCATGCAGAACTGTGTTCATATTAATAAAGCACCTCAGCTTGAATTTATTTGAAAGTGTCTTGGAGCTATAGATTGTCCCACTTTATACTAGGGCTATAACAGAATATTGTCAGACTCCTTTGCAAACAGGAAGGGCAAAAATATCTTTAATGTCTATTTACAAGGTATTTTAATAAATAGATCCCTTCAAATAGTTACAGGGGGTGACATTTGGGAGTGTTGTTAAGTTCCGTCTTGCAAGTTCTTTCCTTTTGTGGCTGAGCACTCTTTAGTCTTCTGTTGTGCCTTGTTTTAGGGCAAGCTCTGGAAAGCCAGCAGGGTTTCCCCTATTCTCCTCTCCATCTTGTTCTAAGATAGGTAGTCACTGGGTCAGAGCTGGACTCTGGGAGCTGTGCATTTGAGGTTTAGGTTGAAATTTTTGAAATTAAAAAGCTATCTTCCTGCTTTTTTTTCTGACAATTTCTGTTGAGAGACTGGTCTAGACGGTAAAAATCAGCCCACGTGATAGTGCAAACATATCAGCTTCAATACCACTGATTTCTCGTACACTTGGGGGCCGACCCCAGAAACCCTCAAACCTGGATGTTGTGGCTGCAGATACATAGAGGTTTGCTTTCTTTTATAATGTTAAGAAGTCCTGAACTGACATGCTGCTGAAAAGTCCAATGCAGCAATTGCAGATTATGCAAACTCCTTAGCCTGATTTGCTGATTTTTGCTGCTTCTTTAATCTACATTTAATACTGGTGGAAAATGTGATATATATAATGCAGTCTGGCAGCTTGGAAGCAGGAGAAGCTTCATATATCTAGCTAAGACTTATCAGCTCCTCTGCCTCTCTAGTCTGTGTTTCTCTCACACTCAGTAATAGTGTCCTGTTTCATGCGTGGGAGTTGTTGGCCGTTAATACACATAAAGGTACCTGCCTAATGTCTTGGTTGTTTGATGTTGGAGAATCTTGGTTTGTCCCTGAGAAGTTTATGAACTCATTTCCACTTCGTGTTGGCTGTCTGAGCTCCTGTAAGATTCAACAGAGACCAATCAGTTTGTATACAAATTTTAGGGAAAAAGAAAAGGCCTTACTTTATTTTGACCAAAGGATTATGGTAGTAGAGTCTGAACCACAGTGTTTCTTGTTAATACCATTTGTAGGCAGTAGCAAGCCATTAAGTGAAAAAAAAGATAGAGATGGAAGACTTTTTCAAATATAAACATGCTTTATTGTTAAAGGGTGTTTATAGGAAGAATAGTTACGGAAATGAGGAGCAATTGCATTTAAATAACACTTTAATTTGAAAATAAAGACCTGGCTACATAAGCAAGTTGGTGTGAATTTACAGTGTTTAGCTACTCCGGGGCACCTTCTTATGCCATGGTAAAAATGAAGGACAAGCTACCTTGCTTTCTCATGGAAGGAAAGAGCATGACTGCATGTAGTTTCTTGTGTTGTTTTATTCATACACTGATCTGGCTTCCGATAATTGCCTGATATACCCATACCATTAGTTCATCTTAAAAGATGAAAATGTTAAGGAACAGGATTAAATTACCTGTAACTTCATGTTATTTAATCCTGACTAAATGCTTGTAAACAGTTTAGATATGTACTATTAAAAATTAGTGAAATTCTTTAGGCAGAAGGCTATCTTTGTGGACTGGAAAAATCTTGACTGTGACATCTCATCTTTTAGAGATGACTTTACATCTGTGCCAAAAGACAAGATGCAGTGGGATGAAGTCATTGGTTCATAGCATGTCTCCTTTGTTTAAAACAAACAAGCAAAAAAAGCAAACAAGAAACCCCTTCTTTTTTCATTCTTCCAAGGCGTAATCTGTTCTTTTAGATCGGGTGACTGTAGAGCAAATGCTATTAATTTATGCTGGTAAGCAAAGCTACTGAAGAAGGACTAGTGCTTTATGCCCCCAAATGCAGAGGAAATTCTCTCAATTTCCAGCCAGGTGAATTAATTGATTTGAGCAAGAGCAACCTGCTCAAGAGAGATTTTTTTGATCTCAAAGATATTTTGCTTTAAAACATTAGTAAAATATTTAAAGAATAAATCCTTGGATTTCTTTTAAAACAGATATATAACTGTGACTTACAATTTTATTGAGATGGCTTTGTAACCTTTTGAAATAATTTCTGTGATACTCTTAAATGCAGTGTAGCTTTTTATATTTTTTAGTGCTGGCTTACCCTGTGTTACCCTGCAAGAAAAACTTTATATAGAACCAAGGAGTCATCAAGAAAGGCACAAGTCAGTAGTTTAATGAGGCAAATTGGCTACAACTAATTTCCTTTATCCAAACAGGGAATTTGAATAAATAGTTTGAATATATATGTTTGACTTACGTATCTAAAGTGGGACCTCTGGCACAGCGCGACCTAGTCCGCTGTGCCAGAATGGTCCTGAAACCTCCTGCTTGGCTGCTGCCTAATCCCAGTGGCAGTAACATGCTGTAGGTGACTTGGGTTTTGACATGAGTTTCTGAGGCACGTGCGATCCAGCTTTGCTACGTGAGCAGAAACCACGCACTTTCCTTTACCCCGGCAAGGGCCCGTGCCTTTCTCCACCCATCTCCCTGTGGTCATTGATTGCTGCTGTGCTTTAAGACATGAGCTGCTCGTAAAGCAACCCGCCTTATTTATAGTGCTTAGATCACTTGCCAGGTGGTGGCTGTAGGAAAGGAGATTTCCCACCCGGTCGGCATCTTCCTCAGGAGTAGCATAACCACTAAGGACATTTCCACAGTGGAACTGCTCATCATCTGGGTGGGTGAAGTTGTTTTAGAAAAGAAGTCAAGCTTCATTGGGCAGGGTGGGGAGGACAGGCAGGAAAAAGCACAGACAAAAGTAGCCAAGGGATGAGGCGCTGGCAAATTGAAGGAAGAAGGAAACCTGGCTTCTAGCCCTTCTTCCAAAGGATGTTCATTCACCTAGCTGGTGTCTCATTTAAGACCCACGTTTCTTGTGCGAACAACCAGGATGGTGAGCTTGTGGCTATAGCAGTTATAGCTCCTACAGCTTCCACCTTCTTCAAGGGACAGCTGTAGCCTGTAGCTGGCTTCTTGCATTGTCACTTACATTGGTGGCCTGCTCTGCAAACATGCAAAGTCTATGGCTTTCTTTCATAGGCTCACTTTAGTCCTGGAAACTGTACTGTAAAGTGCTTCTTGGCATAGGGTTGGTTTCCTGTTTACTTCTGTCTTTTTTTTTCTTTTTTTCCTCCACCCACATCAGTTCATCCACTTCCTTAGTCTATCTTTGACTTAGCCACTGTGGCTCACCCTCCACTACATTTGACCACTTACCTGACTGGATAGGAAATCATGCAGTTTGCAATGGTGTCCTTGAAGCATCTAAGATGCATGGTTTGGCCTATCATAAGAAAATGTCACTGAACATTACTGGTGTCGTTACCACAGGAGGTACAAGAACCTGTTTCTTAGATATGCTTTCCGAAATCTCAAGGGACTTCCATTACACTGCAGAACATGCCTTTATCAGTTACATGTTGGCAAAGAATTAGCATTGCTAAGCTGTAGGAAGATAAATAGATTTAATCTCTAACATAAATGAGGGTTTAAAAAGAAAATAGAGGAAATGAAAGCTTTCACGTATGTAAATAATTCACAGACGGGTATGTACAGTTGCTAGGTATGATAAAGGATAATGAAAACGAGGAATTTTTTTTATCAATAAGGTGAAGATTTGCAAGTCTGAGAAAAAGGAAAGGTTTTAAGTCGATTAGCGTTGGAGGAAAAAATTATTACATGATAATGAATATCCTACAAGAGTTACGTTTGAGTAAAATGAAGTGGAAAAACACATTAAAAGTCTTTCCCAGCTATTGTTCCAATATCGCTTTTAGCATATCCACATGTAATTTTGGCTATAATGGTTTCCAAATTTGCTATACAAAATCTCAGTAACTCAGTGCAATAGAAGGGCAGTTGGAACTAAGGCAGTTATGAAGATGGTTTGGAAGCTAAAGCTAATGTGCTAATGGCAGAATGCAGTGTAGCCTCCTTCACATGAAGTCAGGGTGTTATTAACTTGACCAGAAATTGGAGGTTGGATGAGATTTTGCTGGAAGAAATTCCTTAGTTGACCCATGCAGGAAGTCAGACTAGGCTGCTACAGTGCTCTTTTTGGGCCTTGACATTTCTTGCAAACTAGAATTTTCTCGGTGTTTTTTGTGTGACTTAGCCTGTTAAACTTTGTCTGTCTGTTATTCTGTGCCATTTGTGCATATTAATTTTTTTTGTTCAATTTCTTCATTTCAGGTCCAAGGAAACTTTGACAAAGTTGAATTCAACAGGATGTGCTGGACTCTCTGTGCTAAAAAGAACCTCTCTAAAAGTCCTTTGCTGATTAGTGATGAAGATGCATTTAAAGTGTGGGTTATTTTTAACTTCTTATCAGAGGACAAATACCCTTTAATCATTGTACCTGAGGAGGTAAGAAACAAAAACTTAAGCTGTTTAATACCAGTTTGCTTAATGTCCCAGTTGAACTATGTTAATGTTTGCTACTCTCTGGAGATTTAAGAGGCAATACTTGTTTAATATAAAACTTTTATTCCCCTCTTTTAATAATGTAAGGCCTCAGGTGCTTTTCTTTGTCTTCCAGGGTGCATATGCGGGGATTCCCACAGGATACTTTAGATATTGATGGCTATGCATGTCTGTCATTTAAACAGACTGGATTAAATGGGATGTGCTACTTGCCCTGAGTAAATGGCTTATTTTGCTTTTTGTGAGGACTGACTGGTGCTGGGGAGACTAGCTCCAGTACCAGCACTCGGAGCTGTTAAGGTTCTTGCTTTGCTCATGAGTAGTGCGTGTATGTGATACTTTAATCACCACACTTGCTTACACACGATTAGAATTTTGCACAGTTAGTACATCAGTATGATTCTGAAAAAAAATTCTCCCCTCTGCTCTGTATTACTGTGACTTGCAAGATTAGTCTTCAGTCTCATGTCACCCTCCTGATGAAAAGGAGAAGTATGAACTTTTCTGATGTTTGTTTCTGATCAAAAGCAGCCACCACCTGAACACTCTTGCTTGAAATAGTTGAAGGAATAATACCAGAGAGATTTCTTTATACTTTAAGTTCGTGAACAAGTATGGGCAACACTCAAATAGGTATTTTAACCCTAAAGCAAGATTTCGGTATCTCCGCAATTCTCCCCTTGGGGAAGGGCGAGGGAAGAAGCAGAAAGATCAGAACTGTAGGCATAAATAATCTCTTGCAAAACTGTATACAGAAATCCCAGGGGTTTGCAGTACAGCCCTAGACTCCTGATTAAGAAATACTTGCAAATTGTTGAACAGTCAGGGATCAAAACAGTCTGATTTACATGCCACTACGACATAACTGTTGGACTCCAAGCTGTTGTGCCAAACAATAAAGTACAGATAACTCCCCTATCAAAATAAACCGCTCGGTTTTGCCTTATCACTCACTTTTTAGTAGGAGACCTTCACTCTGTACAATGTTTCTGTTTTTGCCAGATTGGTGATGACAGGGCCCTACCTGGCATGCTGTATTCCCATGAGAAATGGGACAGTCTTCTTGCTTGCTTTCCTGTTTTTTCTGTCAGTTCTGGGAGAAAGGGGATCATGGTTATAAAAGCTAAGACAGCTCCTTTCTTAACGGTGCCAGATTTGGCTTTGGTAGAAGGTCAGAGCCACTAATAAATGTCAAAACTGGGACTCAAATCCACATCTCTGGTTTGTCATTGTGTTCCCCACTGCACAGCCTGGCTTACCTGAGGGTAGATATTTCATATCTCCTTATTTGTTGGCGTGGTTAAAAGCTTCAGACCTGCCAGTTCTGGGGCATCAGCATTGCTCACTTGCTCCCCCTCCACCCAGCAAGCCCCCAGATTCATGCTGCCTTCTGTAGCTGATGCCAGATAATGGCAATGTGTCCGTTTGTTGGGAGATGGGCTGCAGGATCGGCTCCAAGCCCAAAAGAGGTTTTTCAGATTTCATAGCTGCTGCTGTTCGCTTTCCTTCCCATCCTTAATGTCCAGGGTTAACCTGTATTGCTCTTCTACTTGGAGTATTTTTAAAATTCTTAGGGTGGATCTGTGTCTGCATCTCCTTGATTACGGCAAGATTTAAATTGTGCAATACTGTTTAAAGAAAGCTTATAGAGCCTGACAAAAAAAGGCTGCTCTGTTCTTATCGTATACAATGCCTGTATTCGCTCTAACCTTTTGCCTTAGACCACACAGGTAATGTAATCAGCCAGTGGAGGAATGCTAGCTATTGAACGCACTCCTTTCTGGTTTGCATTGGTCCTCCTTGGGTTCTCTGTTCTTCTGGAAAATTCCACATTTACTCATTTACCCTTTTACAGAAAATTCCAAAAGTAAAGATGCAAAGTCTCAATTTCGGTCGGTTTTGCTTTTTCTCTGTGTTACCTTTCATACCTGTCTTTTAAGTTCTTATGTCTGGGGTTTTTTAATGTTAAATCTAAACTCCAGATTTGCAAAGCATTTTTTCGTACAAACTTTTAGTTGTTGTCTTAGTGCTGAGAATTTCTACCTGAAAATAACTCTTTTCAATAGTATTCAAAATGACACTGGTACCTAGTAAAGGTATTTTTCTTTCCATTTACTTTTTATGCCTCTTGAGTTCATAATAAAGCTTGATTATATATTTAGTCTTCACCACTTTATATTGCATCCTGTCATTTAATTACAAAATGGCTTGCACGTCATGTATAAAGTGAAGGGATTTTTGCGAAGTGAAGAACAGAGGAGAGGGTGATGGAAGCATCGCTGTTCTGTGATGTTTATGTTTTGGTGAGAGCAATGTAAACCTCTCATGGGTGACTATAGCTTCCCAGCCAGGGAGCAAGCTTTCCTTCCCTCCCTGCCTGTTGCTCTTATCGTTGGCTGAGAATATTGCGACACTTAATTTACTGCAGTTTCTGGCTTGGAGTCCTTTGTGTGGGATACAGCTGTTTCCCCTCCTCCCTCCCTTCCACCTCATAGGCTTTTGGGTTTCAGAGATTTTGTTTCCCCTTTATAAGTAACTAGGAAACTTGCCTCATACTTTCAGGTTGGAAGGGTGATCCCTTGAAGATTTTTGCATCTCATCTTGTGGACAGGAAGATTATAAGAGAGAGAACTTCTTAGGTCTCCAGTGAATGTGTTGATACAACTTCATGTGGTTATGAGCATGCCTTCTCTTCCTCCTCCTTGGAGGAGCTGCTCATTGAGACCTCCTTTGGAGTCTGATTTTCCTTTTTTTTTTTTTTAAATGAGATAAGTGGTTTCTGCACTCATTTGAACAATTTAATCTCTGGAAAACTCTCCTGCTTGGGTGCAGTTTCACCTTTGCACTGTGCTGACTAAAGATTGAGGCTGCAGTCCTTCCTTCTTGCCCGTGTTGTGTACTTTTGCACTAGTGCTGCTGTGCTAGGCCTTTCGTATTAGACAGCTAATTGTGGTGGGGCTGTTACCCCCATCTGCAAAGTGTTAAGTCTTGATTTCCTGCCCAGGTGTTGAATGGGCAGCAAATTGGGAACAGCTGCAGCTCAACCAGAGGAGGGAAAACAGGCTACTTTGGAAAGGTTTCAGAGAAACAGGCTGAGGAAAGCTTTAGAAAGAGCAAAGTGAGGAAAGCTGTTACAAAGAGGGAATTTGAAAGCAGTGGAGAGGTGACACAAGGGCCAGAAGTTGCTTGTTTAGCAGAGGCCAGGCTGAAAGCCAGAGGCAGTGTCTGGTGTGTGCTCCTCACCTGTCGCGGAAGGAGAGATAGCAGCCCTGCACTTGAGGGAAATAAGGTTAGTAAAATCCAGCATGGAGAAGGGCCTGGGTTGGGGTGTGCAGTTTTGGGATGTGACTTCAAGCTTGAAAGGATCCCTCTATGTTATGGGGAGAAGTTAGGTCACAGAGAGACAGGAGCTGGTGTCTGTGCAGGGCACTGGGCTCAGCTGGTAACAGCCTTGGGCTCCAGTGTAGCTTCTGCTGGTGACTGGTGGGCAGCTGAGAGCAGTTAGGAGAGTTGGAAAGGAACAGAGATCCATGAATGTCTATTTTGCAAAGGTGTTTATGTCCCAGGGAGATGCAAAATGGTATCAAATCTGAAAGCTCCCTCCGCTTTCAAGTGAGAAGCCTTGCTACGCACAAAGTAAAACATTTCTGTGAACTGGGTGAATGTGGTATTTCAGAGATACAGATGGACTGGAGAAAAACAATGCTGTATTTTGTTTGCTCTAGTTAAAATTAGTCCAGATGGATAGCTTTCAGAATTAATCGCTATATCGCTAATGTGCCTGGGAAGTGGGAGCACCTTTCCCTCCCCACAGCTGGTCTTTTCCACTAGCTCATCTGAGACACAGACATCCAAGTGTACGTTTCCTTCAGCTCTCGCAGGCATTACCTCTTCCATGAGAAGGGCAAAATAAAGGAAAGAAACGTGGAGAGAACTGTACCCATAAGAGGAGAAATATTTCTAGTCTGTCATGAGCTTCCTTTACAACTCACCTCTTAGTTGTTACAGACTCATTTGTGTGCCTTGGCACTGTTTAACGTGACATTTTCTGTTTTATAAAAAGGTTTCCAAACATTTCCCCTTTCTTATTTCTGGACATGTGACTGCAGCTTTGGGAATGCTTTATCGCCTGAAAGCTGTGGTATGTGGTTAGCTGTGTTTGTGGGCCATCCTTAATAGTGAAACTCGCAGATACGTACACTGCAAGCTGCACACTCTTCGTGTGTTGTAATACAGTATTCACATAACTTGTTTTAAATAAGCCAAACGTATTTGGTGTCTTTGCTTTTTAAGCCTGGCTTCTTGAGGAAAGAAGATTTGTACAGTCATTTTTCACTTGTCCTCTAGCCTTCAACTGTATTAACACATGGCATTTCTAATCCTCCTGGTTAGGACAAAGAGGGTCCAAACCTTGTATGGCATTCTGTGCATTTGAAAATGAGGTGATGTCATTTAGACTGAGGAGGTGAAAGTCTGAAGCTGTCCAGTGGTGATTCTTCTGGAGGCATTTCTTGCAGAAAAAGTTTTTTTCTGGCCACGTTTGCTTCCTTGTTCTGCATTCTAGTATCAGAAACTGATACAGTGAATGAAATACTGGGACTTGAACCTTGGCCGTTCAGAAATAAAATCAAAACTGATACAACTAGAATGAAAGCTGCTTGTGTGGGTTTTTAATTGACCCATGACCTCTACAAGTTGATGATGATGGTTAGAAAGATGTTTAGTCACTTATGACTAGCATCAGTTCTTCCCATTTCACTACTCTTTTCCTTGTTTGCTGCAAAAAATAAGACAGTTTTCAGCTTATGCAGCAGGTTGACCTTAGGATTTACGTGTTTACATATTACACTGTTTTTTGAGTTGACCTTTATTATATTACTTAATGCTAATTTAATTTTTAAAGAAGAAAGAAAATAATGGCTTATACTGCATAATGAACACAGTTTTCACAAAGTCTATTAATCCAGAGTAGTTATTGTCCATGAAGTTTAATAAATTCTAGTATGGGGATTTTTTTGTTGGTGGAAGGGAAGAAACAAATATTTGACTTCAAAGTAAGTGATGTTCTGATGGGATGAAAAAAAGGAATTGATGATGACTGTGAAAGGGGATATAATTGCTTTCATGTCTTTTGCCCAGTAACATGTGCTTCCATAGAATTTTGTACAATGTGAATAGACTTTTTACATCTGCTCTGTTAATCTCACAAATGTTATTTGAATAGCATTAACTAGAATAGCCTTGTCTGCTGTGCTCTGCTGGGTATGAAGGCCTCCTTGACATTATTTTTCATTTTTCATCTTCTAAGAGACCCACTTGTATATCAGAAAAATATGTGAAACATCTATGGTACTTCATTCCCCATGGAGGATAGTGCCAGGAATACCTGGAAAAGCAAAGCAAATAGGTATTGAAACATGGGAAAAGAAAGTGCCTTCTGAAAGAAGGTACCAAAGAGGCTGCATAGCTCATGTTAAAGAGCCTCTGTTCTTTATATTATTTTTGCTTTCTCTTGGCAAAATTCTGGCTGAAAAGTTTCTGTTGATTTGAGATGGAAGCTGTTTTTCATACTGTGGAGCCAGTTGGTTCATACTGGTGTATGTAGCGTTAGCAACCCCCCTGTGTTTTTACATCCATATCTGAAAGTGAGTAAGGTCCAGTCAGAATAGCAGCAAACGTTGCCTCACGTTTGGTTTTTCGACACTCTACTTTTTAACCACAAGAGTAGGTTATGTTTGAGCCAGTAAACTTAATTTGTCAGTTATTTGCTGAGTTGACCTGTCTCTTTGTGGAGGAGGGGAAATGTCGTTTGCTCTCAGACGTTCCTCATTTGAGCACATAATGAATGGTCTCGTCTTTGCTTCCACACTTACCAGATCCAACTTACTTCTTTGTATTTACCTCACACTGTTCCATATTTATACCCCATCCCAACACTCACTGTTGCTATCGAGCAGGTATGTTAGATAAATTTTTTCTGGGGACTTTGGTTAGCCATGTACTTACCTGAATGCAAGATAAAGCTTGATTTTTTTTTTTTTTTTTTTTTTAGCAATTAAGTTCTAATATGCACAGGTCCTTTTTCAGTTAAGACAAGTTAACGTATTTTAAAATAATGAGATATTTTATGTGCTTTAATGGGATTTGTGGTCATATTAGTGACTTGCAGATAGGGGGTTAGCAGACTTAAAAGTTTAAATCTGTTCTAATAATCAAAATAAGGTAAAGTGTGTACAAATGATATTAAAGGAAAGGATATGTTGGCTTATTTTTAGTGCATTACATGATAACGTGTACTAGCCAAGAGTTTTGCATTGCTTCTTTTCCAGACCATTAGTTTGATACACTTTTTGTTCATATGGCTTGAGCAAAAAAGTGAAAAAGTCTGTTCAGGTATGATTTTTTTTGTGTGTGTGTCCCTTTGTCTGCAAGTGAGTCCTAGTACTTTGAGATAATTGACCAAAGGAATTTGAGAGCTGCATGCCTCAAGCAATGTAATAGGTTGCGAAATCTTCGAACAATATATTTTAAAGTTAAAGTTCATTAAGTTTTAATGATTTTTTTTTTTTAATTACTGTCTAGCATTTTGGCAGGTATATTATCTACCTAATTAAGCCTCAGTTATTTTAGCTTTCCTTTCAACTTAAGTACAGGATCGTAGTTCAGAACTGGTGCTGCTCAGAGGGACTGAGCTGAGTGGCAGAATGTTTTTTGAACGTGGGGAAAAAAGTTACTCCTGCATTGATGTCAGAGCTCATTTCAGCTCATCAAATCCAGGTTTTAGGAGGTTTGTTCTGAAACAAGTTCACAGTGCTACTGTTCTTGCATGCTGTGAAGGGCTTTTTTGGGTTGGTTTTTTTCTGTAAAACTTGCCTGGAGTAGGAAGTAAGCTGCTTCCTGCCTTTAACTGAATGCTGACGATTTATGGTAGCTGATGCTCAAAAGCTTTGGATTAATTTTTTAACTTAAGAATTTTGGAGAGTGAACATCAGCAAAGCATATTTTAAAGATTTTAAAAGGAATTAGTTACTGAATTTTACAGAAATCTAGTAAAAGTTGTGTGTTGGTTGCTTGGGAGGGCATGTTAAAATTTCCTTGATATCATGTGACTGTATTAACTTCAGCGATTCAGAGCTGTGCGTGGAACCACTGCAAAGCACAGTTTTTTGACCCATTCTGGTGAACAGTTGAACATGAGCAGCAGTGAACATCGCACAGCAGAGCCCTGGCATGGCAGCAGCAGGAGGCCCGTGCCACTCTCTCCGGCCTGCCGTGTGCAGCCTGCATGGAGGGGGCGAAGCGGGTGTGCAGGTGTGCCCTCACAGGGGGATGCTTTCCTCAAATGGCAGACGGACACAGCACAGAGCTGAAAGTCGTCTTTTCTGATTGCCACAAACCTTGTACCCTGTGTTAGTTGCACTTGTCTACAATTTGAATGCCACTTTTGCAGAAGCCTCTGTTCAAATTGTATCTTTGCTAGTAAGAATTGCCTGAGGAGCTAGAAATACTTAAATGCCGTACTCGATGAAGCTGAAATGGAAAGCAATGCTCTCTACAACTTCTGTACCCACCCTGGAGGCGTATTCTGTGCCTGGCTAGCCTGTCTTCTCTTAAGACAGTCTTTACGAGGAGGATACAACAGCCACATCTCAGAGGGATACATGCTTCCTGCCCATTCAATGGAGCAGGAACTTTCCTCTAGACCGTGCAGTGGCTTTCGGTAGCTTTTCCATTTTGCTGTAGCATTAGTCCATGTGCTACTAGAGTAGGGGCTGTGAGACTAAGAACAGTTACTGAGCTGAAATAGTAAGAAAAGCCCATTCATCTGCAGGGTGAATTTGGTAATTTACTGCTTTGCCAGATGAGTGTGTTCTGGTACTTGCTTGTGTGTTTCTTGATCATGGATGTGAGGGAAAAGAAGGGATTTGCCTGTACCAGTTGCAAGAGAGAGAAGCAGCAGCCATAAAATTAGCATGTATGCTGCATCAAAACCTCAAGGCCTGGGAGTCCTTGTGGTGAAATGTGTGAGGAAAAAACACTTCTTTATTTCTTTGTACTCCCAAATCTCTTACGTAGAGACAGCTGGACCAGCTGAAAAGTAACTCTGAGCTGTAGCTGAAAAGTTCATTTATTCTGTGGTGAAATATCCCCTGGCTCTCTTAGCTGGGGTTTTTCTTACCTGTGGGAGAAATTACATTGTGTTTTCAAGCAGTGCTGAGGAACAGAGGCGAACCAGCATTGGTGATTAGAAAAATGAAGTCCTGGAAAGCATTTGGTTTCCACCGCTTTTCAATGAGGCATGTTCATGCTGTACACCTTAGTCATTTTTGATAGTGGGATTCAGACTCCTGAGTCAGTGTTTCCAAAACCACACCTAAAATAGGTAAACTGGAAGTGGAGCAGACTGTCCTGAAGGACTAACCCTCAGAAAAGCAGCATTTAAGGAAATCTGTGTTATTTCCATGTGCACAGAGAGAACCTGAAAGGATTGTGGTGCTTTCCCTCCCCACCTCCACCGGGCAGTGTGCAGTTCCCACCCTGTCGCATCCCTCATACTTGTAGAGAAGCAGGGCAGCCGGGGGGAGCCCTGGCCTGCAGCTTTGTGGAACGACGTACCAGGAAGTGGTTCTGTGGTGGCTGGAGAGAAAGGCCAGCCTTTGGGGGAGCTGGTGCTGCCCTGTCCCTGCCGTGGGCTGGTGCGGGAGGGTGCTCCGGTGTGGGAGCACTTCTCCCTAGGCTTCCTCCTTAGGGAGGGCGCAGGTGGCTTTGCTGTCTGCCTTGGCTGGTTGCTGAAGGCAGTCGGGTTCCCTGCAAAGCTGGTGAGGAAACGCAGTGAGCCATTACCCAAAATAGCAGAAGGCCACATTAGCTTGGTCTGTCTTCAAAACTGGGTTAAATGCTGTAATTGGTATCCTGTGACTTCAGTCATAGAAACTTGGAAGCATGGCTTTTACTTTGTTGTGTAGAGGTCTTTGTAGGAAGGCTCTCACCAATTATTTTGTTTGAAGAGCCATTAAAAGCATTTTACATGTGCTCAAAGCTGTAGATGGGCTTAGTTTAAAATACTGTGTTGTTTAAAGAGGGAACAGTGATGAGTTTAAAAACAACATAAAAAAACAGACAAAAGAAGAAACCCAGCCTCCTTTCCCTCTTTTTCATTCTCGTGTTTATTTTGAGTAGTGTTATTAGTGTTATTACCCTGTGTATGGTAATGCTTACAGAATGATGAAAGATTAAAGGAAAAGGAGAGTTTATTCTGGAAACAATAAAAGCGGATGTGAAAAATTTGTTCTTTTACTTCTCTTGATACACCTGTCAAGATTGTGTCCAGCGATAGAGTGCTTGAGAGCTAGAGAAGAGGGGTCAGGTGAAGACTAAGATACGTGATCATACTTTGATAGTTTTTCATTTCACTTCTTGTCCAAACTGCCATCTTTTCTTATTTTTTCTAATTTGTTTGCTTTTTATCTTACAAGAATACTTTTTGAAACTTCTTGCTTTCTCACACTTCAGTCATCATGGTTTGGAAGCTGTTGCAAAGAAGGTCCCATGTGTTCTATAGGAATCGGAAATATTAAAAGAGGCTGTCAGGTTCAATTCTTTGTTTCTTTACTATGAAGAGAGTAGCTGCGGGATGGGCTTGGCAGTCAAAAGTTCAACTGAGACAGGAGCCTAAAATCTTTGCTAATTAAACCACCTATGTTTAGGGACCTACATGTGAACGTAGGAATCTAGCTGTAATGATAGCCTCTAGAGAAGCTTCGTTTACAGCTCTGAAACACTTGATTTCCATGCTTGCTGAAAACGATTAATTTCTGTTTGTATTTCTGTACAGATTGAATATTTACTTAAAAAACTCACCGAAGCAATGGGAGCAGGCTGGCAGCAAGAGCAGTTTGACCATTATAAGATTGCTCTCAACACCAGTCGAGAAGGTCTTTCTGCATGGGAGCTGATTGATCTCATTGGAAGCGGGCAGTTTAGTAAAGGGATGGACCGACAGACGGTGTCCATGGCAATCAATGAAGTCTTTAATGAGCTCATATTAGATGTACTCAAACAGGTAAGAACCACAGAGAACTAATGTTTTAAAGTAGAACAATTTATTGCATAATTAGAAAATGTTCAACTTGTACTGAAATTTCTTTACCTGATGGACAATGAACAGGGGGAAATTAGGTAAATTACTTATAAGTGTTCTTTAATATGAGCTTATTTTTATAAAAGAGAAATTGTGCTGCTGTTCAGATTGTTGTAATTGTTGCAGTATTATGAATGAGTTGCTTGTTGGGAGAGTTTGTTTTTAGAAAGTAAAAGAAGTGTACTCTGACTTGAAATACAGCCTTTCTTATACTAGTGTCAACTGCTTGTTAGCTGACAGAATAGCTGCAACATGCTGTCAGTTCTTAAACTGGTGACAACTCTTCAATCTTTGAAAATGCTTTTTTCTAGTTTCAGTTATGTTGTAGCAAATACAAGTTGTGCTGATGATAACCTCTGTATTCAAACAAGGGGGTCTGGACAAAGGTATTGCTCCAGCTGAAAGGTCTGCTTCTAAGTTGCGCCACTTCAACAGGGCAAAAAGGCGTAGAAGAGCTCCAGAGCGCTCTCCCTTCTTCTTCTGCTTAGCAGGCTACGTGACTGACAACTTATTTACCTCTACTCAAATACAAAAAGTCATGCTGGCCTTTATATTCTTAGCAAACTTCTGTCAATCTTCAGTTTCTTCAGATTTCCAGTGGCTGGATTATCAGTTTAGGAATGGTTTTAAAAACTGCATTTCTTTCATGGGAAGTGTAAATATCACAGGGACCTGAGGGGTCACAGCAGAGCTTACCTAGAGAGCAATTTAAAATTGACTTTTACCTGACAGAGAATTTTTTTCATCTTTGATTTCTTGGCTTTTTGGTGAGCAGAGAAACAAAGGCTTTCTTGGCAGGCTTTCCTAAGCTGTTCTGAAGAATTCATCAGAAGGTTTTGGCACAGGAAATTCTTTTAGAATATCCACAGAACAATGCAAAAGTCTATTTTTGTTAACTGCTGGTTGCCTGTTGGAGGTGAGGGCTGGGGACACAGACACACACACACACACACACAGAGTCAGTTGAGGGCAAAATGAAGTCATCCTGCTGTTTAATACCATGAAAATAAAATAACCAGTGTCAGGTCAGTCCTTCCATTTGACACTTGTGAGGAAAACGGATTTCTTTTTGGTTTCGATACTGCATTGTGTCTCTTCCCTCCCCCCCCGCCCCCCCTTTTTTTTTTTTTTTACTGTCTCCTTTCTTTCCTCTCCTGGTGGCTGAGCCTCTTTCTCAAGGATGTCTGAGTGCCTTTGAACGGTTCCTTGACACTTAAAAATAGTTTCTGTCAAGATTTGGCCCAGCGCCTCCTGGACAGTTACTGGCCTAATAGAGAATGGAGTTCCCTGTGTGACTTACAGATGTCTGGTTCGGTCAAACCTTGTACCCTGATGCCTTGTTGATTCACAGAATTGTCCTGTTTATTGCAGTATATAATTACTTCAGGGTGTTAATTAATGACATATCGTATTGTAGCCAAGTGTCATACTACCCTTTTTATTGTACCCTTATCCTGGATCTCCAAGGCTTATGGAGGGTAGCAGTGATAATTAAATTTGTGATATTTAGTTTTCTGAAATATGCATCTTTCATGGTATGAAAAGATCCCCAGGAGCTGTCGGTGGGCTCTTGGAAGATGAGAAGCAGCTGATGCACTGAAATAATAGATAAAGATTTTGCAGAAATTTGAGGGAAAAATATCAGTGTGACTTGGCTTTGAAAGCAAATTCAGTATGTCAGGAAGGGGAAAAACACCTGGTTATGACTTAGACTGTGCAAGGCATGAAAGAGTGAAACTGCGGGAGTCCTTCACACGCCCTTGTGACCACCCAGACCTTGGACCTGAGTACGGAGGTGGCAAACAAAGCTGTTTGTGCAGTCCTGTTTTGGAGCAAGGGGGTGGGATGGCACAGGGGAATAGGTACGGCCTTGGCTCTGGGCACGTTTAACTGGCTAGAAAAGCTGAGCACAGATAAGCTGTATGTGTAGGGGGGTTGTTTCTTTTTTGTTTGGTTTGCTTTGGTTTTTAAACAAAAGAGCTTCTCCAACTGTCCTGATATTTTTTTTCCCCTCAGACCTGTACAGAAAGACACCTTTGACTGAAATATGTCACAGCACATTTATTTGTCTGCTTGTATCCAAAATTGCTATAGCTAAAAGCCATTACAGAAGAATGTTCCTTGGTCTCCTTTCCAACTTTTCCATCCTCTTAATCTGGAATACTTTGAGTACAGTGCTTTCTGTATGGCTTGTTCGTAGCTATATTGATGTGTTTCAGTTTAATCTGTGATTTGACTTTTTTCTGAAGTTAGAAGTCAGACAAAAGTATGTAAATAATTGGAGAATATGGTTTCAGAAATGGCAGCTATAGCTGAAATACTGGCAAACTTTGAAACTCTAGATTAAAAACTGACTAGGTCACAGCAGCGTCCCCTGTAAGATCACTAAAAATCAAACTCCTGAAAGAATGACCAATTATTATATCATTCTCTGTGCGCCCTTTTCCATGAGATGGTTTTTGAATTGCCGTAGCCACACTGGATAATGTATAACAGGGTTACTAGTATAACTGCGCTTAGTATTGCTGTTTATATTTTAGATATGTTAATATTCAATAGAGGCAAACTTGGATGATTTGATCATGATACCAGCCCTATTTATTGTCATTACAGAAGATTATAATTTTTATTCTTTTATTTGTATAAAGCTCAGTGGCAAGGTATGGGCTTCTCTTCCTCTTTTGAAATAGTCTTGTTAAGGCTTGCAAGTGTTTTTCTCATGCAGAAAGTTGAGTGGATCATCTTTCAAGGAAAATAAAATACTGTGAGTGAAATCTTGGCATTGTTTAAATCAAGGTACAACTCTGTTCCTTTAAGGGAAAATCCAGGCTTCACCAGTGTTCCTGTATCCCATCCAATAGAGATGACAAGGAGTATGGTTCTGTTATCAGTTTCTCTAACATACTCATTGAATTATCCTATATGGGATCGCTTCTTCAACGGGGTGCAGCTAAATGAGTGTGTTGGCAGGGTAGAGCCACTCCCAAGACAGAGGTGCTTCTGCTTTGTCCCTGGGAATATCCCGTAAAAGGCTGGATTTACAGTGCATAGATGCAGGCCCACATCTGTCACTGGGGCATCCATCCACACAGGGCTCATTTTTAATAGCGGCTGTCACTGAAGTATTACAGGTGAGTCTTAGCGATGGCAAATGTCTCTGCTTGACTGAAGAAAATTAAATAGTAAAGGTCATCAAAGAGGACTGAAGAGTTATAATAATGACTTGATAATGACATAATAATAATTGTTCAGTTCTTCAGGTAACCCAGTTACTTAAAAACTGGACAGAAGAACAGTGAGTAGTTTCTCATGGGCTAAACAAATAGCAGTGTGTTGGTATTAGGAATGGAAGTGTGTTGGTGAAGTATTTAGGGCCTTGAGCTAACTTTTCTGTGTGCTCTATTGGGCCTTTAAGCCACATAATCAAAAGACCAGGCAGTTCAACAGAGGCTGGGCATTTCAGCTGATCTGTTGCTTTTTACAGGGCTATATGTTGAAAAAAGGTCACAAAAGGAAAAACTGGACGGAACGATGGTTTGTGCTAAAACCCAATATTATTTCCTACTATGTAAGTGAAGATTTAAAGGACAAGAAGGGAGACATCATACTGGATGGCAACTGTTGTGTAGAGGTAAAAAAAAAAAACACCAAAAACTATGAATGTCTCTAAAGATAAGAATTAATCCTTTTTTGTGTGCAGGATGGACTCCTGATATCTTTCAACAACAGAGCTTTTCTTACTTTATATAAAAACAGTTCATAAACACTTTTAATAAAGGTTCTTAGTGCTGGTATTTGTAGCTCTGTAACAGATAACTGCATACGTTGGGCTTGACACAATATAACTTAGATTTCAGTGTTTGCAAAGCTTATCCTTTTGTTACCCGTTCTAGGCCTTGCCTGACAAAGATGGAAAGAAATGCCTTTTTCTCATAAAATGTCTTGATAAAAGCTTTGAGATCAGTGCCTCTGATAAAAAGAAGAAGCAGGAGTGGATTCAAGGTGAGGTTTCAAAAATCTTAGTTATGTGAAAGTTAAGGTAAGCTGAAGTCTTACAGCTGTGCTTTACTCAAATCTGAAATTCTTGGCCTTGTGATTTTTGAAGTCTCTGTTTTGGGCACATGGACAGGCTCTTTAAGGAGCCTGAGACTCAGGAAGAACTAAGGATCCATGTTAAGGGGAATCAGTTTCTGTCATTTAGGTGCCTCAATTTAGGCAGCCATAACCAAAATAAAATGGATATTACTGTTGTTTGCTTTTTCTATATTGGCTATACTTCTACGGATGGGGAAGGGAAGGGGAATACATTGTAAATTGTTGCTTTTTGGGGAGAAAGGGAAAGCTTGTTCATTTCAGCATCATAAAATTCTGGCTTTGCTTTTACAGTTTTGCTTGAGGTAGTATAGTTTGGTGAGCTGAGGATAAGGCTGGGAATTAGGGCTTCCTTTTCTATTCCCACAGTGAAGTTACTCCTTCTGTGAGACCTTCCCAGATACGTGCTGAGTGATAGTTACATGTATCTTTTGCAGAGTGAGGTAGAAGCCCTTGCAAAGCCACTGTTGCCAATGCCATTGAAGTATGTACAGCAGTCAAATATTTGGAGTTGTGTGCTTTCATTTGCACTTCCCTCTTTACCTAAAGCATGTGTTTAATTGCACCAAAGTGAGATGTATGATGAATGATTACTTAGTTCCAAAAGGAGGTCTTTTTTTACAGTTGTAGCAGGTGAATATCAAAATCATCTGCTGCTCCTCAGCTTTGCTCTCTGAGTATTTCCTCACTGCATATAAGTGAATGAGAGCTACTGTCTTACTGGGAGAAAGTTTTCCCTTGGAGTATCAGTAAGAATAAAGGGTTTAAGGTTGGTTCCAACTAAGGGAAGTAAGTGATGTATATGTTAGATAACATCTTACTGCTTGATTAGAGTCACTGAATCTAGGTAAGTAAATTTCTAAGTAAATCTAAGAAATCTTGAAGTGTTGGGGTTTTGTTGTTTGGTTTTTTTTTTTTTGCAGCTAGGCATACAAGTGACTTGTATGTCCACGGCCTGTTAGAAATCAATATTGGAATTGACATGATGCATTGGAATTACTGGACCTTATCCTTGTGGCACGCAGCCAATACTGAAAGCCAAGTGTCTTTCACTTTTGGTTTGTGTTGACAGCTAGCCTGATGAGAATTAGGAGAACTGACAACAGTTCTTTCTGATTTTAAAAATACATTAAAAAAACCCCCAACAAACAACACACCACCACAAGTATTCATTCACTAAGGCTATCCAGAAAGTTTATCATTTCCCTTCACTGGTGTTCTCTTCCTCTCCCTTTTGTTTTGCGTGCTCCTTTCCAGCCATACAGACCACTGTAAACCTGCTGAGAGCAGGGAGCCCTCCACCCCACAAAGAAGCACGCCAAAAACGAAAAGAATTGCGCCAGAAGCTGTTAGCTGAGCAAGAAGAGCTGGAGCGGCAGATGAAAGAACTGCAAACAGCTAATGAGAACAAGCAGAAGGAACTGGAGACTGTGCGAAAGGTGGGAGTGGGAGCTGCTAACCTTCAAGCTTTAAGCTCAATTTCTGTGGTATACTTCCTGAAGTATAATTAGGCATCTATTTCCTGTTCAGGTGTTCAGACACATTGAGTGCACTCCTCCAGAGGAGGTGAGCTTGTGTCAACATCAGCCCCCTAAGCAAGTAGATCTGCTGGTTGACCCTGCAGTAAAGCCTTCAGCATTGACTGCAGCAGTTTCTAAGGACTGTTCAGCAGGCTTGCGGTAACTCATGTGGCCCAGCCCTGTCCCCTGTACTTATGAGGGTATTGTGAAGCTACTGTAGAAGAAAGCCCCAGCTGTGCGGATGGTGCTTGGGGACTGGAGAGTCTAGTATTTTCAGTTACTTGTGGGTTTTTTGTTTTTCTTTTCTGTCAGAAACTTGGGGCTTTCCATTAAGATTTTCTTAACATAACTTTGGAAAACTATCTATGTGAATTGTATGTGTGGGGGAACTGTTCTCTTCACACAGACGTAGTTTCCAGAGAGAGAAATTTAATTTACAAAGATTCCAAAGACGCAAAGTGATTTTGTGAGTATATATAGGCATAGTTTTATTAGAACAATTTGGGATTTATAGAGCTGAGACACATAGCAACCATTTATAAACTGTTTAATGCATGTTCCTTGTAAATGCTGGATTGACTTCTAAAAGCCTGAGAATTCGACTAGAAATCTCTGAGTATTAGCAGAAGACTTGCTGAATACATTATTTTCCTTGTAGACAGCTTTTTAGTCTAACAACTGGCAGGAGACACCAAGGTGCTTTCCTGTGGCTGCACACTCTAACAGTAGATTGAACAGGCTGATGGATCTTTGTACTTTGGAACAACTGGTACCCCTGCAATAGTTTTCCACAGAGACTTGATTAGTATCCCTCCCCACTGCTGCCTAACATTTCGGCCGCTGAGTTCCTGCTGCTAGAGCAGTCCAGATCTTTACTCTGTGCTTAGTTTAAAGAGTCTTTTGTTCACTACCTTCCTAAATTAATTTGATGTTTTGCATTCCCACTGAGGACAAGTCTGCATCATTGCTTGAGTTTTTCATAAATTAAAAACACTAACTAATTTTAGCCCTCAGTTAGAAAAAACTTTAATGATCTTTGCGGCGGGGAGGAGCTATAAATATTGTGAGAGCATGTTAAAGGTGCCAAGTCTAGAAAGCAAATACAATCATCCAAAATGTATCTTTTTAAAAGTCTTGTCATTAAGTCACAATTTGTGGCGAGGAGAAATTTGTCTTTTTTTAATTAACCTTGGACTGCCAGTACTGATGTGGGTATTATTCTATTTGCCTGAAATGGAGTCTGACAGTGGAAAACCATTTTTTAATTTAATTTTAGCACCTATATTCTACCATGTGCTTAGGATTCAGAATGCAAAATATGCTTTAAAGGACAGTCTGTGTTACCTGCAAGTTACTGGTAAGTGATATACCTGCTAACAGAAATCATAGGACTGGATTTCTGTGTTGAGTTTACTTTATGGAGAAAAAGTTAGGGGTGAAGACATGACAGCAACCCCAAAGGAGCAGTACGATGTTGACAGGCTCTGGGGAGTTTTGTAGAAGTCACAATGGGTAAACTAAAGAGAGTTGTGGCAAGAAGCATCTTTTGAAGTGGACTGGATTAAAATGACTTCTCAAGGAAAGTAGTTTAGTCTCTGACATGAACTACTGCATTTTGACTGAGTGGAATTAGTGGGGAGTTACTGTGCTGGAGGAACTTAAAGTGTTTGATAGTTAGAAAAATGTTCTTCAAGGGAAAGGCTTTGTAAATGGTTCAGGAAACTGAACTGTTCTGGAAAGCTTAGGGTTAGATTTGCTCCCGATGGCAGTGAGCCACCACTTACTCAGCATCTGCCAAAGTGCACTCTGAGTCTGGTTTGTATTTTGGTAGCTCTTGAGGTAGAAAATTTCAGAAGAATAAGAGTCTTTGTCTAAAATAGACTTTTTCATATTTTTAATGGAATTTTGAGATACACACATTGAACAGACTGAAAGGTAAGTTTTCTTACCAAGAGAGCGTGCACAAGACTTGTGCACCCTTTCTATTTGGGGTCTTGCATGGGATTCAGAGACTCTCTGCTTACTAACCCCTGCTGGAATGGTGTTTCCGCCATTGTTGATTCCCCCTCCCTCCCTGCCCCAACATTTGGGACTTTTCCCTAAACTCCATAGTTGTTGCCAGTAACCTTACCTGCCAGGAATTGATGTCCTCTGTCATGAATTAAGCGGGAAGTTGCTGATAAAGAGTGGACAACAATGTATTTTCTTGTTGAGCTCTCTGGCAAAAGCCTAACACCCACCCTTGCCTGTGACTCTGCATGTTTGCTCTCTGAGCTCAGTATTGGCAATGGTTGTTTAATTTCAAAGCGGGGAAGGAAATCAAAAGAAAATTTCACTTAAATAGGCATCTTGGATTTGACTACAATTACATGCTTTTAAATGTTCTGGCAGAGGAGGACTACTACTTCTAAAAGACTGGCATCATTTAAGCCTTTCAAAGGAGAGCAATTCTGTACTATCTTCTACAGCTGAAAAACAGAAACCAGGAGCCTTCTCCTTCCCTTCTTCCCATCTATTTCAGATTAGAGTGATAGCACAAGCACTTAAAGGAATAAAAGTTTTAGCTTGGCAGTTTTAATCGTTTAGGCGTCTCATTAGTTCATCTAGGTTGTGTGAGGGAAGGTGGTTTAAATGTGGTACCTTCCAAAAATACTGAAGATGGGTGTCCCGCTCTTACTGAAAGTCTGTGGAAGCAATTTTACCAGCCTAGCGTATTACAAAAGAAGGCTACTTGCTTTCTGTTTCCTCTGAAGCATCAGATAAGTTTCTTAGAAAAATTCTGTGAAAGAATTATTTTGTTTTCAGTATTGGTAAAGTTTTGGCTGGTACTTGTACATTTCAAACCTTCCTGTGCATTCTAAAAACACATCCTATTGAAATCCTGATGAAAGGAAAAACTGTAACGACTATCTTTATTTGTGAAATCAAGATGCAAAAAAAGTTAAATAAGTTGCAAGAAGGCATGCAGGTACCAGCAGTTGTTTCCTAGGCCTTAGCTCTGACTAGGCTAACTTTTCCCCTAATTTCAAGTGATGATTATTGACTAGAATTTTACTTACCTTACATGGCAATTTAGGGGATGTTAAAGGGATGTGATTCACAATAGCACAATCACTTATTATAGTCAAAGTTTGAGGCACTTCTGCTTTCCCATGGCAATTTAGTGCTTCTCACTTCTGTTTCTGTATGAACTCTATGCATGCTGGCACGTTTTCACTGTCGGAACTCCTGTGTAGTCCTGTCTGGGATGTGGTTTTTCCATAATAGTTTTCTATCCCATATGAGATAGAGAAGGAAATATAGCTATTTCTATGGGTTGTGCAAAGCAGGACTCAAAGGAAGCTTGGAGGAAGTCTGATAATTGTCTTTTCATTGGTAAATTTAAAATTGTCTTTTAAATAAAAAGATTAAAAATTATATTTAGAGATTGAGAATAGCCTCACATTTAAAAAAGAAAAAAAAAAGCTGGTGCCTTTAATGCTTTTTGAAGGTTTCTTCAATTTTTGTTAAAAACAAAAATTGTTAAATAAAATTCCATTCCCTCTAAATGTTTTAGTTTTCACAAATTTTTTTCCTTCTTTTCTTCCCCCCACCTCCCTCCCTTTTCTTCCAGCAACTGGAAGCAGCAGCTGCTCGTGCTGCTGAGGAAGAGAAAAAAAGACTTCAGACTCAAGTTGAACTACAAGATCGCTTCAGTTTGGAGCTGGAGAGAGAAAAAATGGTGAGTAGTGCACATGGTTTTTTGCTATGATTACACAGTGAGCAATGCATTCAGCAATGAATTCCCTCAGGCTGTCACTGAAAGGATTCCACAGATTTTGCAGGAGGCTGGAGAATGCAACCTGCATTGCATTTATTGGAGATGTAGGAATAAAATATTTTTACTAGTGAATTCAAATACTGGAACAGCTTGCCTACAATTTGTATAGCATTCAAAGCTTAAACATTATTGGATAATTGTGAAAAATTTGTTTGAAGGATAAATGCAGACTGAAGTTGTCCTTGCAGTTTTCAAAGATGGAGAACCTGCGGTCAGTACATACTATATGAATATGCAAAATGAACACAAGCATAATCAAATGCATTTTAGGAATTTTCTGACTTGAATATATTCCTAAAACTATTGCTTTTTTATACTGTGTGTTCTCTTACGTTTATACACACACGCAAACATAAATTAAAGAAATATTGTAGCTTTACAACGCTGTTACTATAATCCACATTGAGAATTTCCAAAAGAACTAATTTTCAATCTTCAAGGGCTTTGTCAGGCATAACAGGCTTTTCTGTTAGCTGGAGAAAAGAAGTAGAAATAGTCAAGTCGATGTGATGGAACATCTCAGGACATAAATGCACACAGTGCTGCTTTATGGGCTGAGTGTGAATTCCTGAATACGATGACTTTCTGGGTCAGTGGGATTTAGGTTAGCTGAGGGAAAGCAGACTGCAGACCAGTGGAGCAGGACATGCCATCCTATCACACTTGACAGCAAGCCTTTCTTGCTGACTTCAGGAGCTACGCTTACCTTCTGTGAAGTACATGTGATGTATTGCTAAAGGCTGAGGTTTTGGTGCTTCATCCCGACTCAGTTCAAAGCCAGCTGACTGCTGTTGTCCCCAGCACAGTGATGGGCTGAGTGGGAGGACGGCTCTGGTGCCGCAGCGCCGCTGGTTTCCTGCTCTGGTCAGTGAAAGGAGGGGAGATGAGGATCAGAGACTGGGTGACCGTGGATATGCAGCATCCCCTCGCCTTCCTCTATGCCTTACCTTTGTTTTAGTTATAGTTGCTCTTCTTTTAGCAAAACCAACCTCCTTAGCTGATTTCCAACCCTTTATCCATCCTGTGCTGTCACGGTGCCATCATCCAGATATATGTGTGTGAAATACACTGCTGCCAGGGAGGACTTGCCTGAGGAAAGGAGTGGAAACAGTGTAATGAAACCAGCCTGACCTTTGTGTCTGGGCTCTCTACAAGCTTTCTCTTCCTTCAGTTTAGTGTGTATCTGTAAACTAGGTGACAAGATGAAGCTGATTGAAGTTAGGTTTAAACCCCTGTAAAAATCCTGTGCTGCGTGAAGTAGGGCAATGTAAGTCACCTGTATTATTATTTATTTTTTTAAAATGCTCTTAGTTATACATCTACAAATCTAGACTCAATTTTATCAGTTTTGCTATGCAGGCAGCAGGAAAAGGTTTGTCTCTGAAAACATTATCTGAGGGAAACCTGGCAATTCCTTTAAAAATTGGAAACCTGAGTTGAATGGTAGCTCATATGTGTCCTCAATTTATGCTGCTAGGTAAGACAAAAAATGGAAGAGCAGGTTGCTCAGAAATCATCTGAACTGGAACAGTATTTACAGAGAGTACGTGAGCTGGAAGAAATGTATAAACAGCTACAGGAAGCTTTGGAGGATGAGAAACAGGCACGTCAAGATGAAGAGACTGTAAGGAAACTTCAAGCCAGGTATGGCTTTGGCCTAGTAGAAATTTATTTCAATTCCCCACTCCCCCCTGCAATAGTAAGTAACTGTGCCATACCATTAAAGATTGTTTGCATCTTGGACACGCTGCTGGAAAGGGGGACTAGCTTGAAGTCCAAACACAGGATAGATTTTTTTTTTTTCTCCTTAAGTTATGAAGGCTAAAGCTTGTGTGTTTGATTTTTTAATATGTTTGATTAGCCCTTAGCAGTGGGAGTGCTCAGCAATTTCAGAAAAGCAGGCATGCTTATTTTTCCATCAGGTGTTGTGCATGTCAACACTTGAAAAACTGAGATCACTCTGTACAGACTTTCTAATTGTGTATTTTATAAAGCAGTAACTGTAAATACGACTTTCTGCTGTATTTTAGCACAGGTTTAAATTGTAACTGATAAAGGGTTAAGTCTTCTCTTAATCATATGGGCTTTGTTTAGTGTGGTTTGTTTCTTCATATATTCAGTCCTCCTAAGACAATTAAGATAACTTATGCATGCTTGTTTCTTCTGTGGTTTTCAGTGTTGTGTATTTGCATTATTGACTAAATTTTCTGAATAGCCCTTTGTAGCAGTCAGACTGCTTGCACTGCTGGCATGATTTTCAGCTTTACACTGAAGACAAGCCAACAAGCAATAACTTTTTCCGTGCTTCTGAAGCTGCTTTTTTTTTAACTAAAAAAAAAAAGAAAGAAAATAATTAGCTTGGCTTCCCTACCTGTATGCTACATAGTGGATACTTACTAACTTACTTTAAAGTGCAGTTAACGTCACAATCCTCATTGTAGATTACTGGAAGAGGAGTCAGCAAAGAGAGCTGAACTGGAAAAATGGCACTTGCAGCAGCAACAGACCATTCAGATGACAGAAGCAGAGAAGCAAGAGCTAGAAAACCAGAGAATGATAAAGGAACAGGCTCTTCAAGTTGCTATGCAGCAACTGGAGCAACTTGAACTGGAAAGGAAGGAGGCCCTTGAGCAATATGAGGTGAGCTGTTCTGTTCATCAGCCTCTCATACTTAGCCAGGTATTCAGTTGTTTAACTGAATTTGAAGTTCATCAATATCATGCTTCTTTAAGAATTACTATGGCACAAAAATTATAACAACAGGTAGGATAGTTATGTGTTGGGGTTTTTTTGGCCTAGACCAGTAGATATATTTGAAGAAGAGGACATGTTTCAGACACACCACCTCCTTTATTCTTTTGTCCCAATTCGCATGCGAGCCAGCTCAGTCCTATCCTGAAATACTCTGTACACATTTGTCTTCTACTGTAGACTAACTTCTTATGCAGTCCCATTGCTGTCATAACTAAATGCCTTATGCTTTTGAATTAGTTATTCTTGCAATGTTTTGATGATGTCATAGGGCAATATTGTCTTCTACAGATGAAAAATCAATGTGGTACTGTAGGCCCTTGCTCCTCAAAAAGGTATTTAAGCACTGAACTGATGTCAAGGATAGCTAGGAATTAGCTCAGATTCTCAATGTGTAGCAGTGCCTCATCTCCCAAATGCCAGGCCTGTTCTCTGCTCTGCTGAGTGTTTTTGGTGAAGGCCAGTGGCTGTATTCATAGAAGAAGTAAGAGTCAGAACCCAGCGAGTAGAGAGTCTGAAGTGCTGCATACTTTCTAGGGCTAGGGAGGTGTTGCTCCTGTGTGTATTTAGGTTAGAAAACAAAACATGACTGGATTTCTGTTTAACTAGGGAGTGTGTTTATGCTGTTTCTGTGCTGTTGAGGTTAGCTCTGTGAAGGACAAGCTAGTGAGCTGTCTCGACTGGCACAGAATACAAATGCTGCAGTGACTGCAAGCAGGGGCCCAGGTGGGGTAGTTCTGGCCACTTGTGTTACATCTAACACCATCATTAGATTGCTTTTGGCTAATACTTGACTTTTTTTTAGATGACATCTCAGGCTTTTTGTATATGAAACATCATTTACTACTCCAAAGGAATTGCTGAATACAACAGACATAAAAAACCCCAAACAAAAAAACCAACCAAACAAAAAAATCCACAAAACAATAATGGAGTAGGTCACTGCAATAGTTTACTATTATTTTAGAAATAATTAAACATTCTGGCCTTCCGTTTGGAATTGACCAAAAGACCAGTTTAGTCTGAAGAATACCTCTTTCTTGCTTGGGTGTAACAGCAGCGGTCCTTTTCCTAGCTTACATTTTATGATTTCTGATAGGGAGAGGTACCCACTAGCTGGTCTTAGTTTGGAACAGAAAATGCATCTTTCTGTTTTGAAACTACAGTTTATGCTTTCAACCTTCATGAAGACTAGCCCTACTTAGGCAGCTACAGAATCTTGTAAAACCTAGTTCATTTTTGGATTCTGGTTTGACAACTTTTATACAGCTAGCGATGACTAAATTACTTCGGATGGTTAGAAATTAAGTTCTCCTGTCTACACTAAATGGAGTGCTGGCTGAATTAGCATGGTTCTGTCTTTAGATTTAAAAGGATGTTTTTTCTTTTCATATAAACAGAGTAAAGTTGTTCTTGTTTTCAAGTGGGCTGTATTTTATTTCAGGAGGTTAAGAAGAAGTTGGAAATGGCAGCTAATAACACCAAGAGTTGGAAAGATAAAGTAGCTCATCATGAGGGATTAATTCGACTAATAGAGCCAGGTAAGTTAGCAACAGAAAAGTTACAAAAAATATGTATTCATTCTGTCTCATATGCTTAGATCACCTAGTGATTTACTGAAGTCTGTCTTTTCCTGTAGCTTATTGGTTTCATGGCAGCCTATAGATATCACATTTGTGAGAACTGCTGATGGTAACTTTCACATCTTTACCTCTACTGGCCCTAAAATAACCATTAAAATTTTTTATTATTATTTATTTATTTAAAACAAAGCAAGGATCAACCTGAACATTGCATGGTTTGGGTGTTTAATGCAGTTAGCTTAAATGCTAATTGCCAAAAACAGTAAGTAAAGATAGCTAAAATACTTGGTTTTGGGGGGAAAAGTTTAATTTCTTAGCTTAATTGATAGCGTGCCAGCCCAGAGGAAAATGGCTTTGTCATGCAGTGCTGGTGAGATCGCTTTCCTTCAAGGACATCTCTAAAGGCAAGAAGAAGAGGGGTTTACTAAGATACTACAACTGTTAGGAGGTAGGGGGAGGTTGGGAGATAAGGGTGCAAAAGATTGCAGCAGTTGACAACTTCTCACACTAAGCACCTTCACTGATGGTGTCCCAGGCATTTCTCCCTCCTTGGTTAGGCAGGTCCTCAGGTCACCGTTGAGAAGGTTTCCAGTCATAGAAGAGACAGCACTTACCAAATCATCCTGTGGTGGCACTCAGCCTGTCCCACCGACGGTGGGTGGGTGATGTCGCTGTCAGAAACGCCTGTTTCAAATATTGCACTCTGTTTTCCAGGCTCTAAGAATCCTCACTTAATCACAAACTGGGGCCCGGCTGCCTTCACTGAAGCTGAACTCGAGCAAAGACAAAAAAGCTGGAAAGGGAAAAAAGCCACTTCTGAGTAACGACGGTAGCTGATGTACTGTTTATGAATAGAAGCCCACCTTCATTTGTTCTGCTTTGCACAGAGCAGCTTCTCGCTTATAAAGATCTTAGTTTGCTCAGCAGGTTGGGCCTTTCTACAAAGAAAATACTGGTTACCACATAGGAATGTCTACTCAGAGCTCAGTAATTACAATATGTGGTGTCTGACAGTTCTTGCTGTTCTCCCTCATGCTTCCAGAAACTCTGTTCTTTTATACAAAACTTTTCAACTGAAGATTTTTATTTAAATGTAGCTTGTGACAGAGTTGTTTCTATACTAGCCTGTAACAATCTGACAGCATCTAACCGATCAAGCAGCATCATTTTCATTCCAAAAAGTGAGGGAAGCAATTGTTTCATTGGTTCAGTTAGTATAATTTAAACCCAGGATAAGTCAGTCCTGTAGGTTCTGTCCAACTCTGAGATAGAGCATTACCTTTCCTTCCATTGAGTCTCCTTTTATTTTTGCTCTGTCCATCTGTTGCTCTTAGCACGGTGCTTAGCGCTCAGACACATTCTTCCTTAGCGAGGGTAGACTGGTATCACTGGGTACCTGCTGGCCGGCTGGATTTTGGTGTCCTGTTTTCCTCTGTTTGCAGGAATCCAAACAAAAGAACTGGAAGTAGGCATGTACAAAATGCTGCCGTAAAACATTTGGAAAAAGTAGTCGTGCAAGATTGTTCTTGTACTGTCTCATACTTGAGAAGTGTAAAAAAAACCTTGAGAGTTCTCTTCATAGTTTAAAAGACGCACAGTTTTGACTTACAGATTTCTGGAGCAGATGAATGGAAGATGATGTCACATACAGGCCAAATATCATTTGCATCAAGGGGAAGAAATCTGATTATAACATACCACCGTTTTAGATGCAGCACTTTTGTCTTATTCTTAATTGGATGCCAGATTAAAAGAATTCAAGAGGAAAACTAAATTTGACATTTTTGTTTTAGATAAAAATGATAAATGTGTAGCAATACTGCTTTAGAAAAAAATAATTCCTGTCAGTAAAATAATTTCAGTGTTTCTAGTAACAAGGCTTCCCAAAGAGCCTACTGCTCTGCCTCAAAATTCTCTGCAGGGACAAAGCCAGTTATTTCTGTTTCTGTAGGGAAAAGGAACAAGTCTGTGATTTTGCTTTGTACATCTCCCACACCAGACAAGAAGTCAATCTATTGCTAAGTAAAATAGTATTCTTGCTAAATTGTACAGATATTTTGAGAACTAAGTCAGTCCCCCCTCCCAAAGAGGGGGGCCCATTGGTGTGGCTTGTTAGTCAGCTTTGACCTTTGTATGCACACCGAACGTGGACATCCATCTCTTAGCACCTGCTTTTTAGTTCAGCTAAATGTTAAATTATTTTTAGTAAATAAGCGGTGAATGTTTCAGACGGATAACCAGTGCATTTGTGTACAGCATTGTGATACTTGGATAGCAGAAGCTGTACAGAAGTGATCTTCAGATTTGGAAGTCAATAGCATTTTATTTGCCTATTAACTAAGACTCACTCAAATACTGAATCTTCTCAGACATTTATTCTCTGGTTATATTTTTATACTAATTGAAATCTTTAATGTTTCAGTAAATGGAGTGCTGAGTAGAATGGCAGGAAAATCCTATTTGTATTTACTGTACAGGAAAGCAGTAGTTCCTTAAGCTTGCTAACAAGGCATTTTTTAAATTGATTATGTTTACAGAAGAAATGTGAAAAAAAAAGTAATAGAAATACTAATGTATACATTGTTAAACTTTGCTAAAGGAGGTGGAACATTATTTATAACTACCAAACATCTTTTATGTGGAGCGCAAAAGGTGTAGTGCGGCTAAACTTGTTTAATTTTTCTAACAGTCTGTATTTTGGACAAATGTTTTTTAAGAACACCAAATGATGCATGTTTTCATATTTTTTACTGTTCTTTAGAATTGGCTATTTAATAAAGTAATACAAAGTCATTTACATTGCTGAATTAATTAATGTCTCTTTGTGTGGGTTTATTTTGGGTTGCTGGAGTTCAAAATCCAGTGACTGTTGTATGGAATCATAGAATAGTTTGGGTTGGAAGGGACCTTTAAAGGTCATCTAGTCCACCCCCCCTGCCGTGGGCAGGGACTTCTTCAACTAGAGCAGGTTGCTCAGAGCCCCCTCCAACCTGACCTTGAATGTTTCCAGGGATGGGGCATCCACCACCTCTCTGGGCAACCTCTTCCACTGTTTCACCACCCTCAGCGTCAAAAATTTCTTCCTTCTATCTAGTCTAAATCTA